TTTTGTGATTCACTTACTTCAAAGCTTCTTTTCATGTGGTATTTCTCTTATTTTCTCTTATTTTATCCACCCTTTATATCCATCCCAGTGGGGTAGGAGATTGAAAGTCTTCGTGGAAATGATATTGAATTTGTGCAATGGAATCAATTGACATGTTTTTATTTCCTCTAAAATGCACCCTTTGCCTTTGGTGCCGAGTATCAGAAAAACAGCGGGTTACATACATGTTCCCAAACGTGTGCAGTCACAAGTGGTTTTGTGTTATTGAATGAAAAATATTGTAATTAGTCTTATTACAGTGCAAATGTTCAATATGCCTTTCCAAAGAAGCCCTCTGTGTTTTCAAAATCTGTCTCTGGTGTCATTTAATTAGCAAACAACCCGATGGATCGCAACAAATTAAAGGCAGCTCAATTTTAAAAGTGCATGCTTTTATATTACTCCAGAAAGTGAGGATGTTGTCACTTTGTGAACATTTACAAAACCACATGTGAGGAAAAGGCTGAAAGCTATTTAAAGTTAAAAAAAAATCATGAATTGTTGTTTTGAATTTACTTTCAAACCATTAGAGGTTCTTCCTCAGTGTAACTATTCTAAAAACAGTTTAATCTGTGCCACATTTCCTTTATTTGACATCTGTACCTTCTAGCTAAGCTTCTTCTAGCTGATTCTTTCCATAACTGACCTTCAGACTAGCTGATGTTAAAAAGGTATAGTGGCACATCAATCAAGGGGACATTACAAGACTGTGCCCTTGGACATGTTAAAACTGAAATAATATTAAAGTAAGTCACATGTTCAGGTGTGTGTGTGTGTGTGTGTGTTCAGGCATTTTAGTCTGCCTACAACACTTTTTATTTTGTCAGTGGATAATCATACATAATGATCTTAGTCCAACTGGATTATAAGTGTGTAACAATTAATCCGAAAGCTCAATAAATTAATTCTCAAATTCCGGTCTTATTTGAATATATTTTCTGACATTGCAGCTTCTAGCACTGTCTTCTGTTTAAAGATACCATCAGTGTGCTCCCGCTTATCTCTCATGTTCTCTCCATCCCAAACTCAATTACAGGGAGACCATACTGCCTGTATCACCAGGTTCACAGCCTCAGTACGACCTCTCCACAGTTCGGACAGACTCAAAGTGATGCATGCTCACCCTGACCTCAACCAGACACTAGAGTGACAGCAGTGTACAGACTGACTCCTTCATTCGACATCCTTGAAAACTAGTTAGCAGCTATTTTCTGCCCACAGCCTCTCTGAAATGTTCACAGGGTGACAAATGATTTTATCAATATCTCTTGTCACCCGTGAGCCCCTACTGCCGACACGGCCCTTACTGTGAAACAAGAAAGCTGTCACCCAGTTTGTGAAAATCTGCAAATGCTAAAAGCACACATTAAAGACCCACAGTTGCACACGTACGCAGCTTGTGTGTGACAATATGCAGAGGTTTTTTATATTTTAATTTGAGTCAAAATGTGCACATCTTTACTTGAGTGTGCATTAGTTATGAGTGAGTGCAATAGTTGTGTATGTATGCGTTTTCAATGCCAGCAGACCTAAATGAGGCCCTTGGCACTTGTAGCCAATGAGGCTAGAAAATGAGTGTGTTTCATTCATCAGGAAACAGTCCAAGGGTCATCCTCTGACAGAGAGGGATGCTGGTGCGTTTGCATTTGCTCTGCATTTATGATAAGCTGACCCACACCTGCATGTCCAGCTATGATGTAATAATACCACATCACACACCATGCTTTGGTGTTAAGTGGACTTTAAGAAGTACCTGACCTCTAAAAAGTCACAAGTGGGGAATGTTTACCTTACAATAGCTTTTGCCTTTAACAATATAAAAGGGGAGAAAATGTAATGCTTTCCATGAGGTGAAGCTTATTTCCAAGAGTCCACAGCTCCTGGCTGTGAACACAGCTGCAGCTACTCTGCCTGACTGATCCATGTGAAGATGGGGCGGGATATAGTTGTTGTTATTATGACTTCACCTGCGTCTGTGGTTAGATCCATTTTAATATGAATATGTCCAGGTGTCCTACTAGTTGAACCTGGACTGAATCTATCAGCTATATATTACCAACACACCACTGGTGTTTTGATACAGAGCCAGCAGAACAATGACTGCACCCACACGACCGCATGAAGTCAATATTTATGTGTTACAACAAGAATCCAATAACCAAAGCACGGCCATGGCCACAGCCAGAATCACCGCGGGAGCTGTATCATTGCAAGGCTGCAATTTTTAACTTAAGCGAGGCGACCGTCTGTTTCTTCGGCACCAATTTTTGCAAGAGCTGATGAACCAAATTCTGCAGTTGGCTTTTTCAATGCAGCGATAAAGACCTTTGTCTGAACATTAGACAGACGCAACATTCAAAATTGTCTTGAAAAGAAAAAAAAAACATCTTCTGTGACCTTTTTAAGAGTTTATGTAAGATACAAACTGACAGATGAGCTGTTACTTTAGATAAAAGCAGACAGAAGAATGTCTGAACTCTGTGGTACATTATCCATCTTCAATTGCAAAAAAAAAATAATTTTTAGTTCCCTCAGATGTTCAATTTTCATTGTGCACAATCTCATAAAGAATGTGGAAAATTTGAAGCTGAAGTATGCAACTAACGTGAGACAGCCTATTATGTAAAACCAACAGTGCATGTACAATTGTCTTTTCAACAGAAGACATCTTTTGCCTAGTAGTTAAACTGTGGAAATGAACAATATTAACATATTTATAGACCCAGTTTTTTTTTTTTTTTTAGTAAAGAAAGAAGTAAGTTTTTGACAAGTTAACTTATATGTCTTAAGAAATGTCTGGAAGGGATCCCATTTATTAACATCTGAGGTCCCCAGTTGCCTATATGCTTAAAATGTCAAAATGTCACTTCTTTTTCTCTGCTGTCAAATCTTGGAAAAGAGAGGTTTTTACTCTCCATCTTTCTCTCTTGTTCTATATGCGTGTGTGTGTGTGTGTGTGTGTCTGTGACGCTCAAAATACTGTTGAGGTAATGTTAATATTCATATGATCACACATGCAGCTCTCCTCAGATGGGCAGCAACCTTTTTGCCCTCTCCATTTCTATTTAAACATGTTTTGGTGTCTTCAGAAAGAAAAATCATGGAAACATGTACATTTTTAATGTAAATTCTTTGTTATATCAAACTATTTCTAAAGTCTTTCTCAATGCACACGTATTGGGTTTTATTATTAGAACTGCAAAATGCATAGTGTGTTTAAAAAGCTTTGCTCGTGGTTAAGGTTAAAATTTTATAATTGCAATACGTAAGCATTAGTCTTAGTCTTAGTAAGTCTTAGTATGATGGAATTATCTTTTTTAGCGTATCTTAGATCATTTCCATATGTATGTGCTCATTTCTAAGTATTTTAAGTATTTTTAAGCATTTTAACATTAACATTATTTGTCACTGAACACATTTGATAAGCTTATTTCTAAGAGCATGCTGGGCTGTTACATGCATCAGATTCATTTCACCATCTTGTTATAGATGACACAGACAAGCTGTGAGTGAAAGAATGTAAGGCTGTGGACATGGGAGCAGCTGTCAGTTTGTCTCACTTGGCTAGTTAGCACCAATTCAAAGTATTTGGCTTGTCTGTTTCACTTGAGTGGTTAAAACAAAGATACCGAAAGAGAGCTGCAGTGTGACCATTTTCTTGTTTGGTTTTTTTCTTTGGTGGGGGGGGGGGAGTCAGCATCCCTCAACATTACATTTTAAAGTGGCTTAAAGTGCCCTTAATTGCGGAAATACAAAGCACAGTAACAGTGCATATCAAATCATAAATGTCGCTATATACATGTAGCATATATCAGTATTATAAATTATAATCCATCCTGTTATACACTCTATAGTCCAACAGCTCGCACAATGTAGGATAAAATAATTATGCATGTAACCTACT